CCTCGGTCACTGATGATGCGACTGGGATTACCGAAGATTTCCGACCAGCTGTCGAGCTTTTTAAAAACTTCTTCGCAGCTTGTTGTCTTTGTCGGATACAGCCACACGAACTTAGTAAATGCGTCGACTATAGCAAAAATGTATTTATATTGCTTCGCTGTGGCGTCCATAGGTCCGAGATGGTCAACATGCAATGTGTGCAATGGCTCTCCTCCTTTCTCGACGGGATGAAGAAAGCCTTCGTTTCTACCCAACTGTTTGTTGCTTTGCTTTGCTTGAAGCTTTGCTTGATCAAGTGCGTTGTCTTTTGAACAGCCCAGTGTCCAACATTGTGAGCGCTGACAATTATTTCTCGCTCCATCGACTTCGGTATAACCAGCAGATCAGTTCCTTCTATCGACTTAAATAGCAATCCTCCTTTGATTTTAAAATTTTCATAGGGGCGGCTGCTTAGAATCTCAAAAATAGCTTTGATCATACAATCTTTTTGTTGAGCTGCTTTTATACGGGCTGAGACTTCTGACGTGACCACCATTACTTGCTGTGGGTAGCGACTCAGACAATTGACGTGCCTAAGACGATCTCCACTCCTGTGCTCCACTTTATACTCGAAGTCCTCCAAGTATAGGACCCATTGTGCAACTTCACGTGGTATGTCTTTTTTGGAAAGCGTTTGCTTGAATGCCGCGCAATCGGTTATAAGAGTGAATGGTTCTCCCAATATATACTGTCGGAACTTCTTACATGCCAAGAAAATCGCTTTTGCCTCCAGAATATAGCTGTGCTGACGAGCCTCTGCCTCAGTGGTCCTTTTGCTCCAAAAGAAAACCGGATATATCTGCAGAAATTGGCACTTTTAATAGCCTGTACCCAAAGGGTGAAAGGCTATACTAGTTTTGTGCGCATGTATGTAACACACAGAAGGAGGCGTGGCAGACCCCACAAAGTATATATATTCTTGATCAGGGTGACAAACCGAGTCGATATAGCCATGTCCGTCCGTCTGTATGAGCGCAAGGATCTGAGAAGGTACAAGAGCTAGAATTACCAAACTTGGCATCCAGGTTCCCCTAAGCCCTAGGCAGGTCAAGTTTTTTTTTTTTTGATACGCCCCCCCACTCCCCCGCCAATCGTGTTTTTTCTTATAACTTCCGTAATTCTTGGAATTTTGAAATAAATTTTGATAGTTACATCCAGTTAGTGCTTATGTGTCCGTGTGCGTTTCATCACGATAGGTCTATTCTGAAGAAAGTTATAGCCATAAATAAAATCGCTGATCATGCGCTGCCTGCAGCACTGTCGGCAGCGCTGCCCGCAGCTGTTGTTGTTGCTGCTGCTTTGGTTCAACTTTGTGCTGCATACATACACGCATATAAACACGCATAGGTACGTGATGTAAATGTATGCTGTTAAAACTGAACATAAACATGTATTCTAATTTAATTTAATTAATTTATTCATTTTTTTTTAATAATTTAATTAAAAAAAAATTTTTTTTATAATTTTTCTTTTTTGTGGAGAGTACAGGCTATTTTACTGTCGGGCTTGCTCGACTGTAGCGTTCTATCTTGTTTTTTTAATTTTTCTTTTTTGTGGAGAGTACAGGCTATTTTACTGTCGGGCTTGCTCGACTGTAGCGTTCTATCTTATTCCATTTAATGTTTAGCCCATACTCAGCTGCTTTGTCAAAAACTATCTTAATCTTCTTGAGAGATTCCTCCGCATTCGATCCATAAATAATGATGTCGTCCATATAGAGATCCAAAATGCCATCGTTTATTAAATTTTGGAACACATAGTTCACGAATCGGATAAAAGTCGCTGGTGAATTGCGGAATCCAAATGGTGTTCTGTTAAATTCGAATAGCCCTTGCTTTGTGATGAAGGCTGTAAATTTTCTACTTTCCTCCTCAACTGGAACGTGAAAAAAATCCGTTTTGCAGTTCCAATACAGTAAAAAATTTAGCGCCCTGCAGCTTGGCCAAAACATCGTCGACCACTGGCAACGGGAAACAATCTCGTAGAACCATCTTGTTGAGCTGCCGATAGTCAACGCAAATCCGATTGGTTCCATCTTTCTTCTTGACTATCACAATACGACTGGCGAAGTTCGAAGACGAGCGCCGGATTATGCCTGCGGCCAGCCACTCGTCGATCTGCTGCTTCACTGCTGATTCTTCATTGATGGCAATGCGGGTTGGTGCATGCCGAAAGGGCATGATGTTGTCCTCCAAAACTATTTTGAGTTCAATCGGACACTCAGCAGTCTCGTCGGTCGCCTTGAACTCGGATATCATTGACTGTACAGCAGATTTGAACTGAGGAGGTATTTCAGGATCAGTATTTGTCTCAATTACATTATAAATACTTATCTGATTATTCTCCTGAGTACTTAAATCCAGCCGCCGTCACCGTAACATTAAACTTTGAAAGAAAGTTATACCCAAGCAGCGCGTCGCATCCAAGGTCACCATCAGCCACTACCAAGAACTTGTGTAATACCTTCATATTGTCGATCTCCACCTCTGCTAGAAATTGACCCACCGGGCGTATCCTGTTAGTGCCCAAGCCTCGAAGTGTAGCCACGTTGCTTTGCAATTTGGCGCCGCCGATTTTGTTAAATGCTGCCTTTCTCATTATTGAGACGTCTGCTCCGGTGTCGACAAGTGCATTGACCACTGCATCATTAATTTTTATCTCCCTGAGACGCTTTGCTTCATATACAACATTTACGCCGGTCGAAGATGTGCACTCTGTTGACTACATATACTTTGTGGGGTCTGCCACGCCTCCTTCTGTGTGTTACATACATGCGCACAAAACTAGTATAGCCTTTCACCCTTTGGGTACAGGCTATAATTACTTTTGAAAATATTAAATAAGTTTTAATTAATTTAAATTTCCAGCCCTCTGTGCATACATTCACACATTATTGTGTCTCACATTTTGCTTTGGCAATTTTAATCGTTTGCACGCAACTACACGAACACCTGATTGTATGTGTATCTGTATGTATACTAAGTTGTCCCCAACTGTTTAATATGCATTTTATGTTGTTTGTTCTGCCTGCATTTGTAAAGCGAAGCCCGTATTTCTATCTTTGAATGCAAAGTTGATTAAAGTTACGTAGATTATATTATCCAAATTTTAAATCGATCGGATAAAATTTATAACTTTTCATAAACTTTTCATTTGAAAAAGTGAATAAATATTAAAACCCAAATAATTCAAGCTAAAACACAAATTTTGAAAAAACCAATGTACATGTTTTTTTTTGCATTCTTTTATAGATTTTAAGAACCAAATTGAAGTTGATCAATGGAAAAAACTTTGGAGCTCGCTTTCCCCCACTTGGATCTCGAATTTACCAAAATCCCCCCTTAGTGCTCACCTACACTATGATGGGATACTAGAGTTCAAATTTCAGCATCCTAGCTCCTACCGTTTGGGCTGTGGGGTGTTGATGATTGATTTTTCCACGGGAAAACACCCTTTTTCATGCCTTTTCACCTTTTTTAGATTTTTTATACAATCTTGGGAGCCCGTTTTCCCCCCTTTGGCGCTCGAATTTTCTAAATTCCCTTCTTAGTGCTCACTTTCACTATGAAAGGGATCTTGTGTCCAAATCTCAGCTTCCTATCTCTTACCGTTTGGGCTGTTCATTGATTGCCAATCAGTCAGTCAGTCAGGACAAACTGTTATATACATATAGAGATGTCAGGCCAAGCACTGCCCGCACCAGTTTTTGTTGTTGCTGATTTGCACAGGCACACGAGACATACACCGACACACACAAACTCACACAAACACGCATAAATACGCATATTTACTCAACACATATGTACAAAGTATTTCAAAGTCGGGACACCCGACTTTAGCTTCTCCACTTGTTTTACAGGAAAACTCCCATATTTCAGGCCCCAGAAAAAATTTCAAAAAACCAAGTAATTGGAATTTTTATGAGAGTATACAAACAATGTTTGGAGTCACTCGGTTGAGAAATACGGACAACATTTATAATACAAACTTTTCATTTGACAAATAGTGAAGAAATATTAAAACCCCAATAATTTAAGCTTCAAGTCGTGACATTTGACTTTTCCAAAATCGTATCACCATCATCCTTTTGCTTCTGCTATGGGCGTACAGGGTATTTCACTATCGGGATTGCTAGACGATACCGTTCTCTTTTAATTTCCTGTTGACGCTCGTAGCTTAGATCCTCTTCTAGTGAAATTGCCGTCCCCCACAGGGAATGGTCTGATGGAATGTTTATGTACTCGCATGACTTGATGATTGTGTGTAATTCACTAAGTCTCGAATTATTTTTTGTTATAGCCTGTACCCAAAGGGTAAAGGGCTATATTAGTTTTGTGCGAATGTATATAACACACAGAAGGAGGCGTGGCAGACCCCACAAAGTATATATATTTTTGATCAGGATGACAGGACGAGTTGATATAGCCATGTCCGTCTGTCTGTCCGTCTGTCTTTATGAACGCAAGGATCTCAGAAAGTACAAGAGCTAGAATAACTAAACTTGGTATCCACATTCTCCTAAGTCCGAGAAAGGACGAGTTTGTGTTTTATTATGCACACTCCCCCACTCCCCCGCTCGTTGTGATTTTTTTATAACTTCCATAATTCTTGGAATTTTGAAATCAAATTTGGTAGTTAAATCCAGTTAGTGCTTATGTGTCCGTATGTATGTTATAGCCATACCATGCCGACGATCTATCCGCAGCTCTGCCCGCAGCTGTTATTGTTGTTGCTGCTTTGGTTCAACTTTGTGCTGCATACAATGTTTTGAATTGAAATTAATTTTTTTTTTTGGGTGGTACAGGGTATTTAACAGTTGAGCCCGCTCGACTTTATTCCTTTGTAGTTCATTATGAATTGCTGGTACATGTTATCTTGTTTCATATCAATTGAATTTCATCATCCCCAAATTTTTCTGTGTACAGCATGGGAAACTTATCTAAGTTTTAACATAATTTTAGAGCTTACGCCGAGAAAGCGCCCAGGAGTCGATCATATCATAGCCAAAACAAAACCGAGTTGCTTGAACCTAAGATTGCCGCAACAAAAGATCGACTTGAACGTCTGGGGTACACTACTGGCTATGGAACATTAAATGTAAGACTTATTCATTTAACGGTACCTACGTTTAATTCATGTAATATTTATTCGAATTTTTTTCTCCATGTTAAGGGCTATTCGGGAGCAACTGGGTTATCGGCATACAACCCCATTAAACTTGATCTTGGTGGAGTTGTTCTCGGCACGCTTGTGGGTATTGGTGCAATTATAATCATACCTAAATTGCTTGCCGCTTTTCATGGAGGCTATGGTGGATATGGACGAAGTAACTATTATTATATTATTTTCTCATTATTTCCACTTACTAAGGTTTTATTTTACAGATGAAGACGGCAACAATAACGATTTAACATACTTGAGTATGATGATTAACAAGATTGATGATGTCCTGGGTCAAAATAATATTGATTCTACAAACTGTATGCAGCGTACCATTTGCGGATACGTGCGCACAACGGAGTACAATATCAAAACTGGAGAATCAGACCAAATTGATGAGCTCATTCACATGTTGTCAGAGTAAGTTTTATTATTATTATTGTTAATTCCACTTACAATTGCAAATTGCAAGCAGCTTGTGATTTAAGCTATAGCAGCTAAGGCCTTAAGCTTATCAGTGTCATCTTATTTACTATGTGTTTACTTAAGTCTAGATTTATTTACATTTATTTACATTTCCTATTTTTATTTGTTTTATATCAGGTGGTAGAGATTCGCAGATTTAAGGAAAGCAATTGTTTGATAAATGTTTTTGGGTGAAGTAATTTTTTCTATTGTTGTTTCCAAGAATTTGGTTCTTTCTTGTTGCAGTTTGGTACAGTCTAAAAGTATGTGGTTGATGGTTATTGTATTGTTACAATTTGGGCATGTGGGTGTGGGGATTTACTTAGGATAAAGCTGTGGGTAAGGTTCGTGTGTCCGAGTCGGAGTCGCATAAGTTTTATTGTGTCTAGTCGTGATAAATTCGGGCTTGGTATATTGTTGTTTTTAGTTTTCTCAGGGTTGACAATCTTATAATGTTGGGAGGTGTGGTTTCAAAGCGTGGTGTTGTGGTTATTCAGTTCCCGTTTGATGTATTTTCGTATGTCTGATGCGTTGAAGTTCTGTTTCGGTTTGAAGTGGGTGTTTAAGAGCATTTTTTGCGATTTTATCTGCCATTTCGTTTCCCAATATTTGACAGTGTCCTGGGACCCAGATGAGTAGAAATTTGTTTTTGTATGAGCTCAAGATATTTCTTATTGTAGTTGAGTAGTAATTTTGGTTATTATTATTGTCTATTGCTATTAAAGAGGAGTCGGAACAGATTGCGAATTTATCAGTTTGCTTGGCTGCATATTTGCATGCTGCGAGTATGGCTGAGATTTCTGCTGTAAAAATGGAGGAGAAGTGGGGAAGTTGTTGGTAGGTGATGGTTTCCGTCGACGTTGTGACGCTATAGGATACTCCGGCGGTCGATTTTTACCCGTCAGTGTATAGGAATTGTCGGTAATTTAGAGATTCTTTGAGTTCATAAAATTTTTGTTGGTATTCAACTGGTTGGATGTCTTTTTTTAGATTAAGGTGTAATGTCAAGTTAATGTATTTGTGATGGAAGGACCAGGGTGGAGTTATTTGTCTTGAGTTTTTTAAAGGTGAAATTTCAATTTGTAGTTTTTATACCCTGTACCCAAAGGGTACAAGGGTATATTAGTTTTGTGCGAGTGCACATGGAACACACAGAAGGAGGCGTGGCAGACCCCACAAAGTATATATATTCTTGATCAGCATGACAAGCCGAGTCGATATAGCCATGTCCGTCTGTCTGTCCGTCTGTCTTTCTGTATGAACGCAAGGATCTCCGAAAGTATAAGAGCTAGAATAACCAAACTTGGTATACAGATAAAGGATTGTTCTGGATTCTATTGGTTGAATGTTTGTTTCGTACAGTAGGTTATTTATAGGAGTGGTTGGAAATGCACCCGTTGCTAAGCGCAATGCCGAGTGGTATATTGTCTTTAGTTTGCTGAGTGTTGGTTTAGGTGCTCTTCCATATAGGAAAAGGCCTTAATCTATTTTGGATAATATCAGGGATTTGATTATATTTATTAGTAGGTGGTGTGGCAGTTAAATCTTTTACTTGATAGGCATGTCTGTTTGTGAGTTGTAGCGCGAGGTTTTCTATGTGTAGATTCCATTTGTAGTTTTTTGTGAATATGACTCCTAGTATTTTCAGATAGCTTACATTTTTTTAGTTTTGGGTTCTGTGGATTTTTTTAACTATTGTGTAATCGTCAGCGTAAGCGGAAAAGTGAAATGTTTTGTGTATGGCTATTGTCACAGACATTGTTTAATTTATTGAATGCTATTGAGAAGAGAATTACTGACAATGGTGATCCCTGTGGAATACCGTTTATCGGGCTTGGACTATTATTTTTCGTTTTGATAAGAAGTTTATTACGTATTTCATTATCTTTGATCCTATTTTCCATGTGGTGAGTTCGTCGACTATTGTGTGGATTCCCACTCTATCGAAGGCTTTAGCAAAGTCTAATGAGATTACAGATAGATGATTTTTGGTCGAGAGGGCCGAGGTGATCTGAAAATCTAGCATGGCTAGTGGGTCAGACACCGATTTTCCCTTTCGGAAACCGATTTTCCGACTGTCGAGTAGCTGGCTGTTAGTAGCTAGCCACCAAAGTCGGTTGGATACAATTTTATCGAATACTTTTGAAATGCAGGAGTTTAGTGATATCGGGCGGTAAGAGTTTATAGAGGTTTTATCAGTGTTAGGTTTTGGTATGGGTATGACGCTGCTGATTTTAAATTGTTGAGGGATATGCCCATTTAGAATTTCATTAAATAGATTGAGTAGTCGTCTTTCAACGGCGGGGGACAAATTTTTAATACGATCTCTTCCAGGTGTTTTCCCTTTAAGTTGATTAAGTGCGGCTTTAAGCTCAAGAAGACTCACATCGTTTTCAAGTTTCATGGCTACGGGCGATGGGGTGTGGCTTATAGTATGGCAGGAGTTTGTTTTGTGGTATCTAAATTCTGGGTGGAAGTTGTTATCTGAGGATGCGGTTGACCAATATTCGCATAAAGTATTGGCTATTTCGGTTTTGTTTACTATTGTTTGTGTGGGGTTGTTCGGATTGACAAGGCAGTGGATATCGTGACGGGTATTTAGGCCACAAAATCTGTTGATGTTGGACCAAATTTTCGATGTGGAAGTGGATGGATTTATTTCAGCTGTAAATGTTTGCACCGCGTTATGTTTTTTAATTTTGAGCTCACGCTTGAGCTTGGCATTAGATTTTTTGTAGGTAAGGATGTTTTCCGTACTAATGTTCCTTTATAGGTTTAGCCAGGCTGCATTTTTTTTATTTTTGAGCTGTTGTAGAGTTTTGTCCCACCATGGGACCTCTTTTGCATGATATATGTGTCTCTGTGGAATGGATTGATATGCACTTTGTAAAATTAATCTGACTATGTTTGCTGTTTCTTGGTTAATTTGTTGGCTGGGTTGTTTTACATTTGAGTATTTGTCTGTGAGTTTTTGAAACAGTGACCAGTTGGCTTTGTTTAAATTAAATTTGGGTTTGAAGGTGGGTTTACTTGGGCTATTTTCTTGGAATATTGTTAAGTGGATGGGAAAGTGGTCGCTTCCTGAGAGATAGTTACTTATGTTCCATTTTATGTATAGAGCGAGGTCGGGGGATGCTATGGTGAGATCGATGTTTGTGAATGTGTGATGTGTTGTGAAGTGTGTAGGGGAGCCATCATTAAGAGTAGAAAGGGAAGATTGGTTTATAAATTTATAAATTGTGTTACCTCTGAGATTGTTAGTTTGTGAGCCCCAGCTTCTATGCCAGCTATTGAAATCACCTTTTATTAGTAATGGTGGTGTGATATTGTTAAAGGTATTTCTAAGGTTATTTATTGAAAAAGGCTTATTTGGTGGAATGTACGATGAGATTATTGTGAACTTTATTTTATAATGTATTGTTACTGCTACTATGTCGAAGTCCGAACTGTTGATGTTGATTTGTTGTTGTTCTATGGAGTTGTGTATAAGAAGTGCCACTCCTCCGTAACCGTTTGTCAATGTGTTTTTGTGGTAGAGTTTATAGTTAATTGGGATGGGTATGTTATGTGTAGTGTACAGGTGTGTCTCTTGTAGAGAGATTATTTTAGGGTTTTGGTTTTTTATGAGGATTTGCAACTCATTATAATTATTTAAATAACCATTTAAGTTCCATTGCAGGACTTTTAACATTTATAAAAAAAAGGAGAGTTTTGTTTTTTGTTTGTTTTACTGACTTTAAATTAGAAGTTTTTATGCTTTTGTTCGTTTTTATCCTTGGATTTAAGAGTTTTGGAAAGAGAGTTTTGCTTATTACTATAAATTCAAAGGTCTTCTGTGAGTTGAGTGGAGAGGTTTGCTGTTGGTTTTTTTGATCATAGATATCTTCGTAGGATCATCGATGTTGCGAAGTTCGTTCGAATAGATTACACCTTTAGAGAAGTTTAGTGTTTTGTGCTCGCTAACTGTGACAGGGAAGTCGGTGAAAGAAGTTAGTTTCAATAGTTTTTGTGCTTGCATAGTGTTTTTTGTTTTGATTAACAACGTTCCCGCTCTTGTTTTTTTTACAAGTGTCAACTTCTCCGTGGCACTGGTAGCCGATCACTTTTTTAATTACAAAGGGATTTATTTTTTCAAATGTTTGGTTATCGGTTCTAGTGATTGTGATGTATTTTGGGTTATTGTTGTTGTTTTTGTTCGTCAAAAGACTATTTAAGTCTGGTGGTCGAGACATTGTTAGTGTAACAGGGCAGGAGCCCTACTGAGTTTTTGGTTTTTGTAACTGTTCTGCTGTATTTTTTTTTTTGGATTTTTTTTCAAATTTTGCTTTGTGCGGTTGTTTGTTTGTTCGTGAAGAATTGTTTTTGGTTTTAACTGATAAGCACACGGTTTGCTCACGGTTGGTAGTTACACGTTAGTTACTAGTCGAAGCTAGTTAATATGCCAGAAGACCCAGAATTTATTTGCGAGCGCTATATATCACTTGCTCCTATATTCCTCCTTCTTCTGATATTCAAGTTTATATGCTCTATATTACTTGTATCAGAGAAGTATGTTCCCGGCTGCATGATAATGACTTGATTGTTATGGTGGGGGATTTTAATTTACCTAGCATTTCTTGGTCATTCTTTAATAGTTCCCATCACCTTATTCCTTCGTCACAGCATGACTTTTTATACTCTGTACATAAAATGTACAAGAGTATATTAGGTTTGCGGGAGCTGAAATGTAACAAAGTATATATATTCTTGATCAGCATGACGAGGCGAGTCGATCTAGCCCTGCCTGTCTGTCCGTCTGTCAGTCTGTCCGTCTGTCCGTATGAACACCTGGATCTCAGAGACTAGAAGAGCTAGAGACACCAAATTTTGAACAAAGATGCCTTATATATGTATGCTGTGCAAGTTTGTTTTATTTTTTTGATTCCCCCCCCACCCCCACTTCCCCCATTGGGGGT